TTGCACTATTCTGCACCATGAATTCCGTCCACCGAGTTACATTTATCCATGATAGCAGCGTCTTCTTTAGAGTTTGGCAAAATCGTAACAATTTGAGACTATCTGATTTGATCAAAAGTTTCCCTTGCGCAATGGAATTTTGAGACCATCAGGGCGGCACTTAGGTGATTAGAGGAAGGACCACCTACGGTAGTTTTGTGGATTCTTCAAAACTATCAACCCATCGTAACTGCCGACCACTGTCAGCTGAGCTGTATCTCAATTCATAGTCTCCAAGGAAAGCTTTAGGTGAAATCTACAGCTCATGATATAATCGAGAAGATTCAACTGGCAAGATAGCAGATAGTAGACAAGATATTAGGAGCCTATCAAAAAATACTCGAAGTGTCATCGAAGAGGAGAATAGGAGCGACTTTCTGAAGAAGTACATGTGTGAGAGAGCCTGTCCTATCAACAACATTTACGTCTTATCGAGCGGATAATGGAGGATGAGGGAAGTGCAAATTCGATTGGAAGCACATCGAAGAGTACATTGCGTCTGAACTTCAAGATGACCATCAACAAATGTAAGGTAGTCTTTTAACAATTGGTTGTTAAGTCAAACAACAAAAGATTGATATCAATTGTTAACAGAAAGATTATTGCGTCCTAATTACTCATTCAGTGATGGATGACGAGACCTTACTATGTACTTTGGGAGGAAGGAAGCACAAAAGTGCTAGATAAAGCTCATACACACTCGCTAGGGACTACAGGCTAGACGTCGTAGGAGGCTCTCGTTATTCTATCTTTTGAAAAAATGAATGAAGTGTTAGACTGTGAAGAATCGATGAATTTTTGGTTCCCATTTCATCTCCTAGTGAAAGCTCCCGAACCCAATCAAACATGACTCTATCCCGCAAGCCGACCTAAATAGTTTCTGTAAAATTCAATGGAAATTGAATTTGACTAACCTAATGACAACGTGATATTAACGACCCAATTTGTAAGCTGTAGGCTCCGTCATGTGGTTGAGGCAGTACAGCAGAATTCTGCAAGGAATGGGAGAGCAATTCCTCTCACTTCCACCCACAGTCAGATTAGTGCCGTTCGAAACTTTGACGGAACCATGGATGCACCCATGTAAATCTAACACTTTCGTAACCAGCTGATTCAGCGATCTTATAGGGGTTGCACCTGTATAAGGGCTTCCTTCAGGCCCGATGAAAAGTGAAGGAATTCAGAGGTTCCGAGAGCAGTGTGAGCAGTATGGTGTGTAAAGACCAGCGTATTGATGGGTGACATAATTAAGACAGCTCTGGAAACCTTCTCTTTCGAATTATGGCTTAAAAGGCAGCTTTCGGCAATACACTTTCTTATTGTTTCTAATTATTTATTACTTTATTTTCTTGTCCATTCAGTTTTTATTTACATATCTACTTACTCATTACTCTAGGTCCGTGAACTCGATGAGAAAGACCCAGTATCTTGGAAAATCCAGAAGAAAAACTCTCTAAAAACTTTCGAGGTGAATTGCAAATTGACAGTACATTTATGGACAGACAGGCGTCGACTACCCGGAATCCCTTTCTTTCTCCTTGAAATAGAGCAGAAAAACCGATACCAGTAATCCTTTTATAACTGCTAACCCGTTTCCTTGTTTGCGAAGTCGAACCGTTGGGTTGACAGTTTTGCACAGATGAATTATCTGGCTTTCAGGGAAAGAAATGGAAGAAACACTTTATTACTGAAGTTGCTCGTTGGACTCTTTGAATGAGCTGGGCGATATGACCTTGTCGAGTCATCACCTAGGAGTACAGAAGACGAATCTCTTTTGCAGAGTTTATTCAACCACACAAATATCATGAGTATGGTTATCAAGAACACTTCGTAGATGTCTTCCAAACGGTGGGCGAGTTTTCGTCTTTATACTTTTTCAAAGTAGATTTCACCTATAATTATGCAACTTTGATAGCCCAGTAAACGCATGATCTGAACAGAATACTTAGGAAAATGCTGTTGAGATCACACCTTGCTGCAATCGGTGTGAGTAATGGTGTATACAAGCGCAAAATGACTATCCTCGTCCTTCGCATGTACATTCTTCACATTACCGAGGGGTTCAAGTTTTGGCGTCAACTGAATCGATTTCAGTACCTTCTTAAATTCGGAAGAAAAGCAACTCATTCCTTCCCATGTCTGTGACTGACCGTTTTTTCGTACTTATCTTTCAACTGTTGAGTCTGCGTTGAATTCCATGGGGTATAGTACACAATCGTACTCTCAGCCGTTACAGTTTCTGGCGACTTAGGTGCCGGGGGAGCTGACGGGGAAGTTGGCCAGAAACCAAAGGGATTAAATCCTTTTGGCAAACAGCTCTTAAAATTGGTTTATTCATTAGTTTTTCACGAATTTCAAGTACTTTTTAACTATATGGCTGACTGCACTTACGGCTACAAATCCGACCATGCTTAATAGAAAAAGTAGGCGGAACATGATGAGAATGAGGCGTCCCAATGAAGAAGGCACTGCCTTAGGAGCTTTTATATCGCCCAAAGAAGAGGAGCGGTAATAATATTTTCTTCATTTTCGTTTGGCTTAATTTGCATTCCATTCCAATAGAACATTTCATTTAGACAACAAAGTTGCAATAAAGGAACTTGTTCGATCGTTGGTATGTGCTAGTCATACTACCGTATTCTTTCCATGAAATCATTTTTGCCTAACATTTCCACAAAACGAAAAAGGAAAGAATGCGTTATAATTCTCCATAGGATTCATGAGGAGGATCGCCCTGATACCCGAACTTTTACTAACAACTTCATTCCACAAAAATCAAATTTGAAGTGGCCAGGTCAGTATACATTCGAGAGAGTCATCGTTTCAGTTAAGCGACTAGGCTCTACCGACTACCGACTAGGCTCTATCGAGTCGGGGAACATAAAGGTCCAGGATATTGATGCTTACGTCTTTGATAAGATTCATCAATAGCGCACAAATCCAGAAAACAGAAAAGGCCAATGAGACGAAGGTGTTCTTTATTGAAGCCAATGGTGTCAATTACTTTACCAATGTGATAGACAGTGTCTCAATCACTGAATTGGAATTCTATGATGAGCAAAAAACCAAGCTCAATTAACTCGGAGAAAGTTTATGTTGGTGTTCGAATAGGTGATGCAGTTATTAATGGAAATAATCTGAGTGGCCGAATCCCGGATCAACATCCGCCTAGACCGACCAAGCTTCATCCCTCCGGAGTCGGTGAATTGGTACCAGACTCGTCTGGGAGGATAAAAGCACTGACTAGTACATCGGCTGGCCACCGCAATTCATTCTATGGGCCACATACACATTCATTACGCCAGTACGATTCTGAATGGAAGTCGAATGGGAGGGCTCAACACCAGACGGGATTTGCCCCAAAAAAACTTTATTCTTCATCCTTTAATCTGAGTGGCACATACAGTCTAACTTCTCAGGATGAAGGAACAGTCACCGAATGCGAACGAATGATACAGCACGGCCACAAAGAATGGCTGCGCTGCTTCCTGCCTGTACCTACATACGTGAAATGCCGGGATCAGAGCAGGAGGAAGGAACCGTGAAAGACCAGTATTTTTGAGGCTGCTCTGGAAGCCATCTGTTTCGAATCCTGCCTATTTGTTTGTTTGCGAATTTATTTATCCATTCTTTCGCAGGTTATGTTCAAAATTTGTAGTGAGTCTAAGGAGGGAAGCGTTCTAAAAGAATGAGTCAAGATCGCTCTGCAGTGCTGGAGCTTTTATCCACGATCGGCATTGTCAGTATCATAACGGTCAATGCCCTTACAGAAAGAGTTTTCCATTAGTGTTATTATTGTTATTGCACAAATATCTGTATTCCAAAAAAGCTTCCCAGTGGAGGTGTAATGTTGTAACAGAAGGGAGGTAGTTGGTTTTGTAATCTGTTTGGCTCAGTACCGTACCCCTTCGAAAGGGCTTTCTTTCAAGCACCTCTACTAACCGAAAAAACGCCAATGATGCGAGACGAATTTTTGAGGACTTTGTCATTGAGGCCCACTCTTCCTCGAACGTCTTCTTCTCAAACGAAAACAAACTGAACTGTTAAGTTCAGTGTTTCAAGATCATCGTCATGAGGACGTTCCTACACAATTCTATCTTCGTTGTACCTTCTTTGGGAAATTTATTGGGCACGGATAATTCACCGAGATTGCCTGATCAGTGTTGAAGTGGCTGCGATAGTGCCTCCTGACTTTCTAGACACCTCTCAATCTCTGGCAAAATTATTCGTTCCACTCAATCAAGCAGCTAATTTTCACAGCACCTTCAAAGCCCAAACTAGCAGAGTATCAGAGAGAAACGGCATAACTGAGCTGGTAGGGCTTAGGGGAAAGGAAGGGCTCCGTGTTTGCTTCACACCTTTGGGATTATACAGTAACTCCTAAGCTTTCGGAGGAAGTAAGTGCACAGTCACTTCTGTGGGCTTTCTGAGCGGCACTCGCACGCCAGATCCCTACTACAACTGCAGTGGGACATATCCGTTGAGGTACAACCATCCCTTCTCTGTTTTGACTTGATGTTTAAGAAGGCGAGGGCAAGCGGGGTCTCGGTAGTGTAAGGGATAAGAGCACGGAAAGGACAAGTACGGGTTCAAGTCCCGTCCGAGACTGGAGTTTTGCCCACAAATCGCCATTCTTGTGAGACATCCCTTCTCTCCTGGAACATGTATTCTCTCCAGTGAGTACTGTTCGAAACCGGGTGATGGATGGGTATCACAAGTCCTTCTGTTTATAAAAGTAATGATCGTTATTCATGTTATCATGCGATGTAAAAATCAGGGATAGCGAGGCATCTCAGACCCACTGTTGGACACTCTTCCAACAAAACCTTCCATCCTCCGTCGGTTACCTTGCTGGCACACTTCCTGTCTGAGATTGTTTCTTGTTTCCTTGACACAATTCCCAGTCTATGTTGTTTCGCTCATTCCAGACTTTCTTCTACTGGGATCGTTGTCCTGCATATCACCTGAATTGCTTGAATTGTTCGCATGCTCGACTCATACAACGAGGCTGAATGATGGTGATTGGCATTTGATAATTGCTTATGAGCAAGAGGTGATTCATTTCGAACACCCAAACAAGAAGCCCAAAATGAGACTCTATAACGGTCATATTACTTCTTAGAATGGATATAAGCCACCGTCGATCATCTGATGGTACCAGCGCAACTCAGCGTCATGACCCAGTTCATACTTCTTTTCCTTTCCTTGCTTGTCTCTGCCTCAGCGGTAAGCGATCCAAAAATTGCTCCCAAGTTGCTTCCACTTAGCAAAACCTTATTTCATTTGAGGCATCCGTTACGAAGAGAGAAACTGACTACCGCCTATTACCGGGGAATGTCGAAGCAGGCCAAGGACAAGCTCTCATCATCACTTATGAACTCTTCAACCCTGAAACGATTCCCTACTTCATGAAGGCATTCAGATCAATGGTAAGTCGTTAGGTTCCAACGCTAAGTTTCCACTTCACTAATGTAAATGGGTCATTTTACGAAAATAATTTTTTAAATTTTGTTAAGGTCAAATTATATGAAAAAGAGTACGGTGTCAACTATATCCGTGAGGCTAGCTTCGAGAGAGTTCTGAGCGTTGATGGATTCGTAGCCGTTGCTTACAGCATTTCTACCAATTATTGTGATGAGGTACATACATAGCCTCTTATATATAACGCAGTGTATCTATTGGTTTTTCTGTGTGCTGCGTGTGTGTGTGTGTGTTTCAGAGGGAACTGCCAGCTCCTCTTCTCCGTACCAGAGCATCCTAATTCGGAAGGGTTAGGCTGCTTTCTTAGTCTGCGATTTGGTCCGCGAGCGAGCGATCGAGCGAGCGAATGAGCGACGGGGGACTACTCGTCCGGCGGTATCCACCAAGATTTAGTTGTAAACAAGGGGCAAGCGCCCCCCATCGCTCGCTCGCTTGCGGGCCAGATCGCAGACTATGAAAGCAGCTTCACAGGCGGCAGACCGAGTTCATTAGAGAAAAGGAGAGCACGGCGTTAGCCGGGCGATCCGACTAGTTTATATACATATAAATGAACGTCTAGATAGGAACTGGAAACAGCTAATGAAGCATCAATTTTCAGATATCTGAGTTTCTTTCGCTGCTCAAAATGGAGAACCCCAACCTCATACAGTCTGCAATAGTTCAATGTTTAGACAAGAGGATCGTGGTATAGAAAGTTCTTGAATAAACTTTTCATCTTCATCCATCGATCTTTCCCTCGGTATTCTTCTTTTCGAGCCCTTTGTCCCCAAAATTCTCGAATTCAGAAAATCAGATTCAACCAGGCGGATTGGTCCATACCTGCCAATCGCTTCTCTATCTTGTCCCTCAGTGTTTGAAGGCTGTATTGGAGCCACGCACACACTGACACCAATGTGGCTACTTCAGAAATTTCAATAGTACCCTAATAACCGACCTAAGTTCGAAGCTTCTTTTGCCTGGCGAATTGGCAATATGAGACCTTAGCCATACCAATACAACTTTTGGTGTCCCAAAAGTAATCAAACCTGTTTGAGGTTACCCAAGCGAGGGAGACATGAGTAGAACAAATGGGAGCCACTCGACTACGAGATGTGGTAACTCTTTACTAAAGAGGATGAGGAGGCGTTCCTCTGCTACTATAAAGCGAAAATTCGAGCTTGGCACCACAGTGATATCACTGATGAGAAAGAAGATCTAGGGAAGATAATAAATGAAGAAAATTGAGTTTGCCAGTACGTTAAAACGCACTAAAATTGTCCTCGAAGGAAAATAGTGACAGATCTCTGAACAAAGGCAAATGCGAGATAATTGTATCAACAGTCCCTAAGCGTCAAGAGGGGGGGGGGGGGGGTAATGGAAATCAAAATTGAATCTTAGCCTCAGTTCTTACCATTTTACATTTACTCCTTTCCCATACGGCAAATGCCAGATGGACTCCACACCTGGGACTGTATTACTAGCTGCATCTACGCGTTATTCTTTGAAACTGCGGTTGTGTCTCATGGAATTTTTCATCTCAGCCCATGATATCTTCAAATTTCATTCCCCAAATCAGATACAAACTCAAGAAGTCTTAAGAATCTGGATGGAATTTATATGTATGGCCTAGGCCAAAAGCAACGATCAATGGAGGATGAAAGGCCGGATAAATGCATAAGACCTCAGTACAAAAGTTGGTAGAAGTTCCAGCAAAAACAGTGGCTAGCGAAGTGTGTAGGTAAGACACAAAAGCATCCCACTCCTGATTTTTTCTTGCAAACTTCAAAAAATGAATGAGTCGATTCATATACTGGACTGCGGTAGTTTTGAATTGCACAGATATCACTATGGAAGTATGATATCGGAAAAAAGCGTTGCTTCACTTCAATAGGTCTACAGTTGGCCAAATATCCATCTCAACACCCCTCTCACTTTGTTCCTGTGAGTCTTGTTTGGTAGCGGAAAAGGTCTTCGATTCAGAAATTGGTATGGATCGAAGTTCACAATCAATGCCACAGTTTTGAGTATTATATCAGAGAAAAAGAAGAAACAGTGGCGTCACCAAAAGAAGCACAATATCGTGAGAAATGTTGAACAGGGCACAGAAAATGCTCGGGTTTTCAGAGCACACTCAAAGCGTCATGGGAGAAATCGTGCTGAACAAGTACGATGTAAACGAGAGAACGAGAGATGGTGAATTTGAAAAGGCCTAGGAGTTAGCGGGTTTCGGAAGGAACACTCCATGTAATCATCAACTCGAAGCGAGAGATGTTGAACTTGATGAATACCCTTATTGAAAATGAAGTAAGTTCGGCAAAAAATAATGGCAAATGTCTAGCAATGAAAAACACCGAAAAATAATGAAATTCAGTTCACGGAAATTAATTAATCTTCGTGCGACATTTACTCATTCTACAATAGCAAATATGACCTTGCTGAGTACTATGAAGAAAAGGAAACCTAAAAGTGTCAACTGAAGCTTCTAGGCACCTGGTACCCGGACATCCAACATAGGGGGCATTTACTGAGTTATAAGAGGTAAAACATTGCGCCACAAATAGAGGATAAAAGACAAATTTTGGCGTTAATCAATCCCGTCTGAGGGATGCGCCCCGCACTCGACTTCCATTCAGAACGTAGTGGCGTAATGAATGCGTATGTGGCCTACACAATGACTTGCGGTGGCCAGCAG